GCTTTAACGAGAGCAGGGGGGACTTGTCGCTGTATTGCCCCACGCGTGGCATAAAGGCGGGAGGAGGAGGATGGCGGCAGCTGGGAGAGGCACGGCACTCAGGCTGCTGCCGGTGGAACAAGCTGAGCCTTTGGGCCGGTGCTTGGCCACCGCACGGCAACGAGCAACGCACGTCCATGTGCAAACGGAGGGCAGCCCAGCCCCACGGGCCGGGAAGGACAAGCAGGTCAGCAGTCTTCTTCCCTGTATGCGCCGCGAGTCGTTTTTTGGTTTCCATGGAAACCGGCTGCTGCAGAAATGATGTTATGAAAACGACTTCCAAGATCAAAGCAAACAGATTTGCTTTGCTTTAACGAGAGCAGGGGGGACTTGTCGCTGTATTGCCCCACGCGTGGCATAAAAACTGTTTCAGCGACGTCGTAGGTACCCCCGAGGCAACCTGCTGCCAGTGAGCACTGCATCGCCTGCCCCGGGTCGCCGAGCGCCCACGGAGCCACAAACCCCAGCCAGGGCAGAGGAGGAGTAGGAGGAGGAGGAGGAGGAGGAAGGAGCAGGGACTTTCAGGTGGGTACAGCTCACACCAGTACCAGAGGCAGCACTGCTTCCATCCCTGAGGGCTGCAATCTACTGCTTGCCCTGCGAAAGCCAAGCCAGCAGCAGCAGCAGCAAGGTGTGACTGCGTGGCGAGGTCTCCAAGGGGCGGCAAGGAGACGGTGCCGCAGCACCCCGAGCGGAAGGGGTGAAGGCAGCGACGGCCGGTTAGAGACCAGCGCAGTCACCGCGGGGCTGCCGGTCCCTCTCACCCAAACACTGAGCGGGGGACGCTTTGTTCAGCGCCCGCATTCATGTTTGACATGGCCACCAGTCTTGTAGGAGGACAAAGCCTGGACAGGCCGACTCTTATACAAGTTACTCTCAGAAACAGATGTGCTGCTGAACAAACCAAAGTCACGCCTCGCAGAGCAGCTCTGTAGCAACACAGCAAGCTGGTCTCTGACGGCAAAATTGGCAGAAAAACACACAAATCTTAAAAAGCTTAACCCTCCCTGTATATTATTAATTACTCCATTAAGTTTCATTTGGAAAGAGTCCATGAAAATAGAAAAAGGTGTTGAGCCTAACACAAGCAATGCCGCAGCCCAGGCCAGGCAGCACCACGGGGGCCCGTGGTTACTGCTCAGCAGCGGTGGTGAGAAGACAAGCCATGCCCACCACCGCAGCTGCGGCTCCCCCCCCCCCCTCCCCCGGCGAAGTGGAGACCGCGCACCTGCAGGTAACCCCCTCAGCGGAAGAACAGCCTTCCTAATGCATAATAACCAGGCAGATCAGAGAAAACATCTGGAAAAAGATGCTACCAGGGCGGAATCCATTTTTAGCATGAATTTCGATTTTTCTAGAAGTTGCCCCAGCATTTTACAAAAATATAGTCGAGGATACAGAAATGCGGCAGGCAGCCAAATCAGACATCAAATATTTTTGTTCAAGTCCTGCAAGTGACAGCTGATCACAGCACTAACACACGAGGGCTCGTCATCGAAAAGTCCCCACGTTCCTCGGTGCAGCGGAAGCTACATGCTCTTGGAAGCTTCCCATGAACATTATTCTGCATCCCTGCTGTGAAATCCACTCAAAATGACTGTACCAGATTACCCATGACCCCGTTTCTGGAGAGACTCCCACAGCAAGGCTCTACAAAACTTCAGGATGTAAAATTAGAATTCCTGGGAGCAATTTGTACTCTGTTGTGGAGTGTTTCATCTCCTTATGCAGTGTTAAAGCGCTGCTACACAGGCCTTGGGAATATAAACACTAATTACTGCAGCCATGTAACTGAAGTCATAAAGAACTTTACAGTATGACTAATAAGCAATTAGATGCTAAAATAAGAAGCAGAACGTGGTGGTCTATAGTCCATCAAAGGAGGAACAAAGCCCCTCGAAAGAGAGATATGGTATTATATGGAAGAAACGTACCTCAGAAGTCAAACTCTGGCACTTGAAGGTACACAACGTGAACAGACACATGGTATTGCCAATGACTTGATTTTACATATATGCTTAGCCTATCAATAAAGAGATTAATTAGCTGAAAAGAACATGATGGTGACTCCACAGATGAAGGCAGCAAAAGGAGAGTGCATTATATGACGTATTAGGCAGTGATCAAACATACAGAGAGGGGAGCTGTGGCTTGGGCTCTTCAGCTCAAGCTGTTGGACAGTCAGGGCACAGTTCAGCTGCCTACACATCGGCATTGGGTCCCTCTTGGTTTGGCCAGCCAAACATAAGGTACTTTTCCAGCTGATTTACTACTGCCATGGGAGTAATGAAGCTCACACATACTGGAAAGGAAGTTGTTTGACATGGACAGGATTTGCAGGATTGAGTAAGCTCTCCATCATGTGGCCTTTCCCAGATTTCCTTCAGAACCTTCCTCCCAGCTCACGTCAGAATAGGCTCAGACGCTCTTTGGGGTCTTGCCAGGGAAGGTAGAGGCTGATGGGAGGGAATCAGCTTTGCAGCCTACGACCTTGCTTCCTGGATGAGCAATTTGTCCCAAAGTACTCAACCTCCGCTGACACCCTCTCACCCATGTGGGTGGTGTTCCCCAAGAGAACAGCTCTGTCACTCTTCTGATGAGCTTGCAAAGAGCACAACTTCGTGCTCCAGCTGGTCCAGCCATGGCTTAGCACTTAGGAGCTGCTAGGAAACACACAGGGCCAGGATGCTGTCTAAATGGTTAGGGCCAGGACAGAGTCAGAAGATGGGTCCCATAGCAAATAAAGGTCTTGGACAACAATCAGAGAAGCCAGGTGTTGCATCAAACCAAGGATTTAGGGAGGAAGCTTGGTCAGAAGTTAAGCTGATGTTGAGAAGACAAGGCAGGAGCCTGGACAGAAGACGAGACGGACTCAAGGAAACCCTAGAGCAAAGGATATCTGCCTTGTAAGGACCCGCTGAGTAGAGGACAGATTTGTTTTCAAAATCTTCTTTATTGTCTTACAATGTAGTTTAGAGAGTTGTGTTGTCAGGCTTCATTGCTTTTCTATTCTAATGAACCAGCGCTGGACAGCCATGAGAGGAAAAGTGGAGAACAGCAGGTAAGCTCAGCTCAGCACAGGCAGCAATACTGGCCGCTCAGGGATGCGGGTCCGTATGTTCTTCTTTGCTGTCAAAGCCTCTAGTTGCCCCTGAGACAGTCACACACTCAGATGAGGAGATGAATGCTCGTGTCTGACTCCCAGATTCTTCAGCTGGTCCTTCTTACCTCTGTTCAGCCAAACACATCAAGTTTCCAACCAATTTTCGATCTAGAATTTTCATGACCCACAGTTTGTATAGTAGTGGAGACCATGAGTTTCAAAACTGGTTCCCAGTGTTCCTTTCCAATAGTGGCACACAGAGTACAGGAGAATCACCCATCAGCCTTGTACAGAGCATCTTGTGCATGTTATTAACTGAAAATTGTCTGAGACATGGACAAATCCAGTTTGATCACACCATGATAACTGAACCCTAAGCTATATCACAGCAGCAGGAACTTTTGATGGTGGCACTGAACATTTTCTCTGAAGCCTTTTCTTGCAACACCAAGGGGTTCTTTCAGTTCACTGATGGTGCCACGCAGCTGCTGTCCTATAGCAGTAAGACTTGAGAACCCTCAGCAATGTGAGAAGAAACTGGGGCTGGCAGATATACAACCAGAACTGCTGCAGGCAAGTCAAGCACAGGACATATGAAATCCGTGTATCCTGATGAGTGATAAAACAATGGAGGCATTTTATTTTTTTTAATCTGACTCACGTATTCACTTCCTCTGTCTAAGGGCAATACGCAGGTGGGAACAACATTGCTTCCAGTAACTGGAAGAATTTTCCCCCAGACGGAACTTCCTTGGTCAGCGCACCTACTGGTAAATAGCCTGGGGAATTCCAAATATAATTTCAAAATAGTTTCTGAAGTGGGATCGGACCTTCAAAAAGGCAATGAAATTCAGCATTTCCAAACTGATCACCTAAGCCTGGAAGAAGAGTGTTACCTTCTTGCCATGCAAGATCAACAACAAGATCTGTAGGAGGGCTCAGCACTGCTGGGATGGAATGAGAATGGTATGGTGGTACCAGGAAGTCTTTGTGGTGTTCAAACGCATTCGCTGACACACTTCCGTAACTACATGTCTGATCTTTGTCTAGAGCAGCAAACTTTCCAAGTATTTGTATTCTATGGAGGGCCTGAAAGGGGGCAGAGAACTTGGTCCAAAGGTTGCTGATGGCCTCTCCCGACCCTGGATTACATGGCTACTGTCTGAACAGCTGTCCTGAATCTTTCCATGGAAGACAGAGGTGAAGATATCTGCATGCCCCAGTACTTCCTCCTGCAGGAGACAAAGTTTCTGGAAAAGTAGAGGTCGGTCTACGTGGACCCTACTGGGGAGGGAGCAAAGGGTATGTACCTTTGTGAAGCTGGCATTGGAAGGATAGGCGATCTCTCTCTCGAACTGATATGAGCCAAAGAGAGAGGAAGCTTCTGATCATGGAGAGGAAAGAGAAGGTTTCTTTGCTGAGAAGGTTCCTAAGAAGGTTCTGTCTCCAGGGCAGGAGCCACCAGCTCCATCCCCTACTTCTCTAACCTTGACCAAATTTCCCATCTGCGGCTGTTGCTTGCAGAGCCCTTATCAAGTTTCCCTCCAACCACCCCATTTCCCGCTAACTCCTTTTAAAGGTGCATTTAAGCAAACTGTGCACCAGTTCCTTCCTCTTTCCTGTCAGGTCTTCTCACAGCAGTATACAAACAGTCTTCCACCACCACTTACTCCTGGGCAGAATATACAAGCCATCCTGGCTACCTTCTCCCTAACAGGCAAGTCTACCCAAGGCTGGTGAGGGCAGGTTACCCAAAGCTCTGGAGAAGCATGGGGTGGTTCCTCAGGGATCTCAAGATGGTAGTCAGGTGGTCACACAAGGAAAGTCCACAAGGACACAGCCCGACAGCGAGGACAGGATGGCGGGTCACAAGTCAACGGGGGAAGCGTCTCGTGTCCTTGCAAAGGTCATGTGGGGCACAGCAACCACCAGCAATTCAGACGCTGTTGGGAAGACCAACACTCTGCCTGCTGCCCAGGGTCCACCCTCTCACAGGCTAAATACCAGTTCAGCTTCCACACTGGACATGGTACGACCAGAGGTCAATGCAGCAGAGGCTCTTTCACTGCATGCAGGTTGATGGTCCTGTGACCCAGGGACGCAAAGCAGTGTGCGGCATCTTCCGTGATGTGACGGGGCACCCAAACACCACAAAGCATCCCGCCTCTGCGTGGAGATGTGGTGCTTGTGTCCTCACTGGTTCACGGCTGGAGTTCAGGATGATGTGAAAGACATCAATTCTTCTAGCAGAGGCTACTGTGTCTCGTAACTCACATGAGGTGAACCACCTGAGCATCAGATACTTCAACCTACCGGTCCGGTCCTGTTGCACTGAGTTGCTTTCTAATCCAGACGTAGCTCCACCAGCACAAAGATCCCCAGGAATAAGCAAAGCTGCAGCAAACACTGGGCTTGGAAGGTGAAGGTAAGACCGACAGAGCAGCCAGCAGCAGCTCCCTGTGAGAGAACGGAACGCAGTTCCAGCTGCTCCTCTGCGGATCTGCAGACCAGATGAGAGTTCACCTCCCGGGGTTCGCCCAGGCAGCCATCCCACTCGGATGGCTCCGGCTCCACTCCCCGTGGGGAGCCGCGGCCAGCCAGACCCACGGCAGGAGACGTACCCGGTGTGGGACCTGTCCTCCAAAGCACAGCTTTCCCAGACGCTTGGTTTACCCTGATCAGACGTGTTACCTGAACGCGAAGGCAGGCTGCCCCAGCAGGAGAATATACTGGTACTAAGAATTAAATACACGAAATTTAATGCTCCTTTCACATCAGTATTTTGTGGAAGCATTCATCTGCAATGATGACTTGAAAGTGTACCTCCGCAAGAAGGATACCAGGAGCAGAAAGGATTTGTGTGTGGTTTTCGTCTAGTCCATACTTCCCACACAATTTTGGACAAAATGACATCTCAGGATCCCTTCCAGTCCTATTTCTCCTGAGTTTACAGTGCCATTAAATATGGTAACTTTGTTGTTATTGGGACAGAGGTCCAGTAACAATTTCTTATCTTTCTGGACAAGAAAACAGGTTTTATTGTTTTATTTAATGATGCTGTTCTGCACTGATTACACTGTATTTTAGCACTTGTCAAAATTCAGTGTCTGTACTCTGACCTCTTTTTTCCCTCAAAGTCATACTAATAACCTCAATAAATCTGAAGTTATCAGTAAGCTTTAGGGATGTGGAGAGCTTAGTGTTTTGGTGAAATACCAATATATGTGTGTTAAAATGGGTTCTAGAAACTTTCCAGAATTTGAGATGCATTAATTAGGAAAAAATTAGATTTAATCAGCATTTATATAATGTCGCAGATTCTGGAAAGTTTGTAGCCAATACACCTTTACAAACGAGCTAAAATCAGGCCTTCTGTCACTCTTCGTAACTATAGATTGAAATTGTGTAAGAATGTGAAATTAACTGGAAAAGCAGCAGTCTTGTGGATAATGATAATATAAAAAATGAGCACTTTTCTCAGCTTAAGTCTCTATGATTTCGTTAATTACCTGTCTTAGCTCTGGATCTGAAATCACATTCGCTTCAAAGCCCAGTGACAGGTGACAGATTGTTCCTAGCAGACGCACCCCTAGTACCTATGGAGCTGATGGTTACGAGGTTTAAATAAAATCAAAATGCCTAAATTCTGCTCCTCTGAGTGCATAGCAGCCCCACATTTTTTTGGAGAAAGACCTAAGAAAGGAAATGGTGAGGGTTTGGGGACTGTTCCATGATTTGACTTAAAAACAACAGCGCAATGCCTGAAGTTCTTCTCAGGGATTGGTCTTTTGCCACAGCTCATCTGAGGAGATAATTATGCCAGTTATAGATAAGGTTTGAAAGAGACCTCTAGTATGTTCCAAATAAATCTGAGGCTAGCCTGTCGTTAGGTTGGAAAAAAAACAACCCAAAACCCAGAACATTTAACAGCATTATTTTTTTAAGATTCACTACAAGCATTTTAAAAAGATGGGGGATTTAAGACAAACTGCTGCATCGCAACGATCATCTTGATCGACGAGTTTAAAGTATCCTCACAGGAGGTAAACAAATGTAAAAAGGAAAACATAAAATACGGGAACATATGTATTGTTCCCAAGCACAAGGATGAGGCAGGAATCGGATGGAAACGATGCTATTACTGAGAATTACACTATCATCAGCCCAAGTCAGCACTCTGAAGGACCATTCGTCAAAATACGCGCTCCTTTCCCCTCCTCACCTCAGAAACGGCCCCTCTCTGGGGCACAGGGTTTGGTGCAGCTTCTTGGTGAAGCTTCCTGCCAACACAGCCTTCCCCCAGACTGGGAGAATAGCTCACCAGCCACCTCTGGCTGCTGTTAGGCTGGTTTAGTTTCAGCAGACCAGAAAATCTATTCTATTAGACATCAATTACACCCAACTCTCTAAGAATTTTAAACAGTCTGTAAGTGAGGTAATTACGTGCGTGCTGAGCTTCTGCTCTCGTTCCTGCAGAGGTACTGAGAAGGCATTGGTCTGACATGCTGGGAAAATACAACTATCAGCATGGCAAAAATGTATGGGAAAATAAAATGACCAGCATAAGTAAGGAAAACCTTTTGCACAGAGCAGCAGCCACGGAACAGGTCGGTGCCCACGCTCAGGAGGTCCGCAACTGAATTTCGAGGGCAGCTCTCTTCTTTTGCTGGTGAGGACAACTGCACCGGGCCCCGCGCTAAGGTTGGGGAGCTCCTGCAGCCTCCCCAGCAGCCCCACCGCACACGTGCAGGGGGACGACAACCAGCAGCTCTGCGCAGGGGGGGCACATGAATCACCCTGGTCCGCCCAGAGAGCTCCAGCTGCCCTGCTGTTTCCCAAAACCTCAGAGCACACCTTCTGCCCCCCACCAAATTCCGCTGGCTGTCTTGCATCAGGTGCTCCATAGAGCTAGTTCGTAGATGTGACTTCAGCCCAGCGCCCAATGCTTTATGCGGGAAACTAGGATTCTCCAAAATCCAAATCCGACAGAAGGTCGCAGCCCTCGGTGGCCAGCCACCAACAGACTGACTCAGCCCTGAGGCCAGGACACAGCAGGGCATCAGGGAAAGCGATCCTTCTCAGAGAGCAGCAGAAGCCATATCAGCTACAGAAATATTTATATGCTACATCAACACTCTCAGTGTGCAAGACGTGAAGTCATTCCTGTCACTGAATGAGAAGAACCTTGAGTTCTTGCCAGGGAATCTGGACACCATAGCAGGACACCTGAGGTGCCTGCAAATCTGGAACAACTGTTTGGAAATAGTATCTTGTGTTTGACTTTGATCTCTCCAATCTCAGCCTTGCAGACTGGCTGTTTCTCAGGGAGACTCTTCTGAAGCCACAAGCTTTCTTTCCACCAGTCCTTGCCAAAGGTGCATTATTTGGTACAGCAGAACCTGCCCTAGCGTACCGAAACCAGCCTTTGCAGCACAATGGAAAAACATACCCTGATTTCTCTGAATCTCTCCATGTATTTCGGATGGCGGCTGTCTTAGGAGTCTACTGTTACTTCCAGTGGAACAAAACACCTCGCACGCAGCAGGGTACTAGAAGACAGTCGTGTCACCAGACAAAGTGGGGATAAGTCAGTGAAACATACTCTAAAATGTCTGGTACTTGGTTACAAATTTGAACATAAAAATCCAAACCCCTTATACCTCCCCTCTGCAAAAAAAAAAAGAAAAAGACAAAAACAAAAACAAAACCAACACCATCCCCTCACCACTGCCAAAACCCAAGATATAATGAAATCTACCTGAAACACCGTATTTTTTTTCTAGTTGCTACAGGGCATCGTTTCTGGACATCCCTCCCAGCTGTCCGAGTTGAGTGTCTACTTTCATACGCTCTGCTCCTTGAACGCGACTCCTCAGAACAGCCTCTCTCCCTGTATGCTGCTAATTATAAATCTACTTTAATGACACATTGCATGCAAAACACATCATCAGAGTGGCTCCTGGCATGCCACTTCTCTCCTCTCTTACCCTTCAGGTCCGTGATATCATTATATTACATCACCGTCTGTGTTAAAAATGAACCAGTTGTTCAGACCATAGCACATTAATGCAGTAAGGTTATTTCCCTTCTCTGGGCTTTAACCTAATCCTGGCAAAAATGCGAGAGCTACAGTGAGAAATGCGAAAAGTTAATTTAGCTGTTGTTGGATATAAAGGGAAGAGTGTCAGGGCAGGAGCAGCACACAGTGATACTGCCTCAGAACGCCCTTGAGGTCTCCAGAAACGGGTGATGAAGGAATATTTACACCCGAGAGGGTGCCTGAGCATTTAAGAGCCTTCAATAGATTTTCATTTTTTTCCCCTACAAATTTTCTAGTTCTGTTGTGCTGTTTAAATAGCTTACTTCTAAATAAATGTCTTACTGGCACAACCCTCTTCCGTTTGTTATGAATTCTCAGAAACCACCTCCCAAAAGAAACAATTACCATACAAATAGCTTCTTAGTTCTAGTCTCCAGTTTCCCCTCAGGAATTCATAAAGATTCCGGCTGACACGTTCCTATGACAGAGGTGGAACACGAGGCTCGGAGTTCATAATACCCCCCCTCCACACCGACCGTGACAGAAACCTCAGGACAGCTACCGCATTTTGAAAAATTAAGACGTGAAATGGAAAGGGAAGTTTTCGAAGGAAGTTAGATAAACATGTCAGGAATGAAACCAGCCCAAGCAACGTAGCTCTGAGGCAAGGGAAGAGTTCCCTTCCACACTCCTGTTTCTATAACCCCACAGTTACCAGACCATTATTATTCAGACTTGTTTCAGAAATAGCATCTATCTCCTAATGTTTTCGGCTTCAGAAGAAAAGTTCTGTGACCTACAAAGTTGCGACTTTAAAAAATGGACCAAAAACCAGCAGAAATAAATACTACCATCATCTGCTTGAAGTGGATTACAGTGACATAGAAGAACGCTTAGTGTCTGCCAGAATTTGCCATTAACACGTTTAAGACATGCTTTATAGGCAAAACAGAAATCATTTACATTACATGAAAAATTTTGGTTACTTA